TTTTGAAAAAAAATTACTTTGAAAGAATAAGATTTTTGAGAAACTATAAATTGGACAAAAAATAACTTTTTTTTGAAAAAAAAATTAAAAAAAAAAAGATTTTTTTTTAATTTTTTTTTTTTGAAAAAAAAATATTTTTTTTCTTTATTTTGACATATTGTGGAAGATCTGAACTTTTTTTCAAAGCAATCGTACTGCTTTAACTGTATAGGGACAAAATATAATGTAGGATAACATTCCCATAGGAATGTTAACAAAATGTATACTTATTGTTAAAATCTCTTTAAAATATCTGATAATTTGATGTGCATATGTCTAATGATCATTTTTGACCGCCAAATGGCTCATTTTTTTACTTTTTTCTCCATATCTCCAAAACCGCTAGACCTACCTTCATGAAAATTTTATCGATTCCTCATCTTGTCAATACAAGTGAAATGTTTTTTGAATTATTCAAATCGGACGCTCCGTTCTCTTAAAAACTGAGTTACCGTTTTCGGCACTTTTTGTCCCGTATCTTCGGAACGGCTAGACCTGCCTTCGCCAAAAACTAATCAGCACGTCTCCTTATCAATACAAATCGAATGTTTCTTGAATTATTCAAATCGGTTGATCCGTGTTCCCGAAATCGTCGACGAAAATTTGTATCCGCACATACATACACACACGTACGTACATACATACATACACACACACACACACACACACACATACATCCATTTTTTCTAAGGTATGCCAAAATGTTCAGGAACCTTTGAAACGTAAAGATATATAAAAATTTTCATTTTCGATTTTTTTGCGATTACTATAACTAGCCCTACGGGAAGTTAATAAGTTTTTTAAGCTCACTAACGCAACGATATAAAAATGTAATTTTACACATATTAACGGATTAACGATTAACGTTAACTTGCGTTAATTCTTCCGAAATGTAACGCTTTAACGTTTAACGAAGTTAACTTTTTTTGTAGCGGATTAACGATTAACGAAGTTAACTATTTGATTAACGGTGCCCAGCTATGTATATATATATATATATATATATATATATATATATATATAGGTTAACCAGCTCACTGTTTTGTGAAACTATAAGGCAGAATAAAAACATTAAAAGCATATATTAAAAATAAGGTAAATTTCAAAATTTACATTTTACCGTGTAACAGGCATCCATCCAATGAAAACAAAATTTAATATAAAAAACAAATTTATTAAAACTACAAACCTCTCAGGTCTTGTTCATAAATAATTTTTTTAAAAAAAAAACATATAAATTAAGTACTACTTTTCAATATAAAAGCAGTTATAAAACTAAATTTTAAAAATAATTACTTTGATTTGGGTGTCACATCTTGCTGCCAACCTTAATTTCAACTGTGTATTAGTGAAAAGTTATCTTTAATTTTATTTGTGTTATTGAAACAAGCATACAGCTGCATGGAAGTGACCTCCTAGTATAAAGAATTTTTCTTCTGACTTTCCCAAAGGTGTCTCAAAATACTTATGCTGACTGTTCATGTAACTATCAACTGAAACAAATATGAAAGCAGGAGCATTATTTTTAAATAGGCTGATATTTGGATGGTAAAAACATTAGTTATATTTATTCACCTGTTTGATGTGCATGACATGTTCCAGTGTTGCCTTTGAATTAGACATAACTTCTAGTTACACATCAACTTCTTGTATATCGAATTCTTGTTTAACATAAACTTCTTGCTCAATATCAACTTCTTGTTTAATATCAACTTCTTGATTCATATCAACCTCATTGCAATGTGCAAAATGAATGTTATTGTGAGATGAAATTTCTGGAGAATAACATTCTCTTTGAGTGAATATGTTATCATATTTGTTCGTAGTATGTTCTCCTGGTATTTGATAATAGACAATGTTATTTCTCCTTCGTATCAAATTCCTACCAAGTTCTAAAATTTATTAAGAACATATGATTATACTGTAATTATTGAATTTTGCTATTTGGATTTAAAAATAATTACGGAATGTTGCTTTATCCAAAAGACAATTTTTTTCATCGAGAGGGTCTCCATCAAATCCTGCACAGATAATATGCTGACAAATATTATACAATAAAATATTTAATTGTAATGCATTGATGACGATACTAACCAGGCATATTTATAGTTGGCAGTGCATTAACTTTAAGATTTGACTTTTTTGTCTTTGTTAGTTGTACTTTGCAACAATCAGCAAAATGCATGTCGCAAATATATCGAGTCCTGTGCATTTTTTCGAACTCTATACCATCCAGTTTCGGATTATTAGTGCGTTCAACCCAAATTTCGTACATCTATAATATTTTACTTTTTATTTCATAACCTATAATATGGCAGTACAATAATAAATTTAGCATACTTTGTCATTCCTTGTTGGAAAACCATGTAAAATCACTTTTTTCCTGGTGCTTGTGCATCCAGGTACGTGACAACTCATTTTTGCGCTTTTGAACTTTCTGTAGGATATTCGTAAGAACTTGGAATCGACATCTAGAATAGAGCTAATTGACAATTGCAGCAAAACGAACAGCTTTGAAGATTTACTAGTACATCATAGAGAAAGGTTTTGAGATAGATAGCAGATAGAGCAATAAAATACTCTATTCGCTCAGAGCGTGACTGCAGCGCCGTAATAAATATGAACTAATTGTAGCTATCAGTGTGTGGTTTTCATGGGTTTTATATGTTTGTTAAAGAAAAAAGATATTAAATAATTGTTATAAATAATAATAAACAAGATACAGTAGTAATGTGAACGCTGAATGTTTATTGAAATTATTAAATTTACTTCGACATACTTAAAACATAATTAAGTATAATGATTAATTAAATAAAGAAATGCAGTAAATATTTTTAAGGTTAAGTGCCTCAAAGCTTATGTAATAATCTCAGAATAGTTCTTAATAAAAACAATATAATAAAAATCAAAATATTTTATCAATAGAATAAGTAAATAATAAATTAATTTACTCATTTTTTTATTATTTTTGGTCAAACTAAAGACTTACAATAGACATTATTATAAAGACATGATTTGATTCCATCATCCATCAAATAAAATTGCAGGAAAAAAAACTACATTAACTTTTCGAAGCTTGTAAATTGAAGGAAATATTGTTGGCAAGTAGATATATCTACCTATTGAGTCCTATAGGACTCAATACCTTGTCCGATTTTTTTTCCTCTAATGAAATGTTCACTGCAAATGCGATCATAGAGCTTGGGAGCCCACGGAGGTGATCCATCAACACTACAAAAATATATTTTGCATTATTTCAGCATTGTATTAATTAAATTGTTTGCAAAATAAACATTTTAGCGCTATGTGATAACTTTTATTTTTTTTTTAATCATAAAACTACAATTATTATATAATAAAATGTAATTAATATATAGATAATAGTTGTACATAATCAATATACAATATATAAATATTTATTTTTCATTATTTCAGTCTTGTATTAATTACATTGTTTGTAAAACAATTTTTTCTAGTAAGCCTCAAATTTTGATAATAAAACAATTTATTGACTTATAATTTTTCTTTTTGCTAAACATAACAATTTTACAACTATTCGTAGTACTCCGAATTGAATTTTTATAACAATAAGGTTATGATACTTACTTTGTTCTTCTAACCGCAGCGATCCACTTTTCCCGTTGATTTTCTTTCCACTTAGCTGTAGAAAATGTATAGAATTTGCAGTCACTTTTTCTGCTAGTATTTCTACAATCCACTATACAACAGTTTTGGTGGCTCATTTTTAATTATCTTATTTAAATTTGAAACTAGCTGTAAGTGGAATTCCGTTTTGAGGCAATACTAAATGTTTTCAAATAGATTATTATAAATATTGTATCATTGTCTAATATAAAATAATAAAATAAAATCTGAAATATTTTCAATATACAAAAAACTAAAAAAACTAAAAAAAAAAAAAAAAAAAAATTGGAACAAAATTTTTTTTCCAAAATAAATTATTTTGTTAAGACAAGCAGAAAGTTCTTTGAATCATCTAAATCGGACGCTTAGTTCTCTCAAAAACTGCCATTTTTTACATATTTAGCTCCGTATCTTCGAAATGGCTGGGCCTGCCTTTGCCAAAAACTAATAAACACTTCTCCCAATCATTACTAATTGAATGTTTTTTAGATCATTCAAATCGGATACTCCGTTCTCTCAAAAATTCGATTTCTATTTTCTGCACTCTTTGCTCCGTATCTCCGAAACGGCTGGACCTGCCTTTGCCAAAAACTAATCAGCTCTTTTCCTTATCAATAGGAATCGAATGTTTTTTGAACCATTCAAATCGGTTGATCCGTGCGCCCTAAAACGTGACTGGAAATTTGTATCCACACATACATACACACACACACACACACACACACATCCATTTTTTCTGAGGTATGCCAAAACGTTCAGAAACCTTCTAAACGTCGAAAAATGTAAAAATTTTCAATTCCGATTTTCGGCCCATTACAATAACTTACCATACGGGAAGTTAATAAACAAATATTTTAGGTGTTTTTGTTTAAAATTTCTGTTATAATAGCCTACTTTAATGCTCAAAGTAGCCACTACGAACGCTTCGGTGATTTGACTTCCCCTTCCATGCCTTCGCCATATCCAATGTGAGTTCATGTTTATTCGCTATGTGTGAAAACCATAGACCTTATACAATACATGGACTGCTAGTTCAGCGCATAAAAAGTGTCAAAAGATGTTCTATGGTATGAGGGCATACGAGGGTAATTTTGCGGCCGAGATATGTCAAATACGAACACGAGCTTTACCGAGATTATTCGAATGCACTCGATCGCTTAAATTTTACAGTTACTTGTGATGTTTGATCGCTCGGGTTTTTAAACTAAAAGAGGATAAAAATATACCTGTTGTAAAATTGTTAAAGGTAAAATGTCTTCTAAAATGTGTTTGGTCTGTGGTAAAGTTCCTGATTGCAGTAAAACCTGTTCTGAATGCTTCGCAAGTATTCCGGGAAATTCGACATTCATCGATATAAAAAATCGAGGATATCTTTCATATCCTTCCGATGCAATGTTTAAATTATGTTTATATATAGAAACCCTAATTCGAAATTCTTTAAATTTAATGTACAAAAGTTCATATGAAAGCACGATTCTCCGAAAGTTGAATGACTTGGGACTTGCACATTTTTTTAGATCAAGCCATTTCCAGCAATTTGTCCAGCACTATCATGACCTTATCAACTTTGTCGCAAAAATGTATTTAACAATTAGAGTGCACCATAAAATAGAATGCAACATAAAAAAAACAAAGTTGATAAATATGTACGCCACTTTCACACAAAAATTGTGCTTTTTAAACACCAATAATAAATATATCACATTTAAACAAATATTTCATTATTGCTTTCTAATTTCCCATAATAGCTCTAACCAACTGTTTTTATTTTCAGTGAATTTTATAATATGTAAAATATCTTTTTATTTTTTTTTTATTTTTCTTAAACACTTTGTATAACTAAAATAAATAAATAAATATATAAATAATTCATTACATTCATTAGTTTAACATAAATTTTATATTATATAATATTTTCCCAACAATTTCGAACACACGGACTTTCATTTGACGTTCAAGCGATCGAGTTTGACATATCTCGGCCGCGAAATTACCCTCGTATGCCCTCATACCATAGAACATCTTTTGACACTTTTTTACTTGAGAAATGTAGGGGGATTAGCAGTCCATGAAATTGTTTAAGATATATGGTGAAAACACTTATGCATTCGTCTTTTCTATGCTCTTTTTTCATCTATTATGCACTTATGCCACAGACCTTATACAATACAATGAAATTGTATAAGGTCTATGCATAGACCTTATACAATTTCATGGACTGCTAGTCCCCATACATTTCTCAAGTAAAAAAGTGTCAAAAGATGTTCTATGTTATGAGGGCATACGAGGGTAATTTCGCGGCCGAGATATGTCAAACTCGATCGCTTAAACGTCAAATGAAAGTCCGTGTGTTCGAAATTGTTGGCAAAATATTATATAATATACAATTTATGTTGAACTAATAAATGTAATGAACTATTTATTTATTAATTTATTGATTTTAGGTATACAAAGTGTTTAAGGGAAATTAGAAAAAAAATTAAAACAATATTTTACATATTATAAAATTCACTGAAAATAAGGACAGTTGGCTAGAGCTATTATGGGAAATTAGAAAGCAATAATAAAATATTTGTTTAAATGTAATATATTTATTATTGGTGTTTAAAAAGCACAATTTTCGTATGAAAGCGGAGTACATATTTATCAACTTTGCTTTTCTTTCTTTCTTCATGGTGCATTCTAATTGTTAAGTAAATTTTTGAGACAAAGTTGATAAGGTCATGATAATGCTGGACAAATTGCTGGAAATAACTTGATCTAAAAAAATGTGCAAGTCCCAAGTCATTCAACTTTCAGAGAATCATGCTTTCATATGATTTTTTGTACATTCAATTTAAAGAATTTTGAATTAGGCTTTCTATATATAAACATAAATTAAACATTTCTTCGGAAGGATATGAAAGATATCCTCGATTTTTTATATCGATCAATGTCGAATTTCCCGGGATACTTGCGAAGCATACAGAACAGCACAAAACAGGTTTTACTGCAATCAGGCACCTTACCTAACACATTTTAGAAGACATTTTACTTTTAACAATTTTACAACAGGTATATATTTATCCTCTTTTAGTTTAAAAACCCGAGCGATCAAACATCACGTGAACCCAAGTAACTGTAACATTTAAGCGATCGAGAGCATTCGACTAATCTCGGTAAAGCTCGTGTTCGTATTTGACATATCTCGGCCGCGAAATTACCCTCGTATGCCCTCATACCATAGAACATCTTTTGACACTTTTTATGCGCTCAACTAGCAGTCCATGTATTGTATAAGGTCTATGGGTCTATGACTTATGCTTATTTATCCATAGAGTATTTATCTATGTGTGAAGGCATGGAACATTCATGGAAAGGGAACTCTAATTGACTGAAGCGTTCGTAGTGGTCATTTTGAGCACTACTGGAGCCTATTATAACCGAAATAGTGAACAAATACGCGTGAAATACTATTTAATTTCAAATTAAATAAAAATTAGACACCCAAGTTGTTGTATAGTATAAATTCTACAAATTTCCTACAGCCAAATGGAAATTTAATCAACGTGAACAGTGGATAGCTGCTGTTAATAGGCTAAAACTAAGTATCATAATCCTATTATTATAAAAAAAACAAATCGGAGTATTATAAATTGTTGTGAAAATGTTATGTTTAGCAAAAAGAAAATTTAGAAGTCATTAAATTGTTATATTATGAAAATTTTATAATTAAAAATAAATGCAAACAGTTTATTTAATACAAGGCTGAATCATTGAAAAATATAAATTTGTGCATTTATTTATCAATTATATATAATTATTACATATAATTAT